TCCAGCTGCTCCGTTGAGCACAGTGGGCACAGCCGCCCCCTGGTGGTCAGCTCCAGCACTGCAGGCCCAGGCAGGAAACCTGAAATTAAAACACATCTGTTTGGGGTCATCAAGTCAGTGGGGCTTTCAGGCCCCAGGGGGCAAAGGAGCAGGACTTGCAGGCTCCAGGGGGGATGAGAGGGACCTCGGATCCTCCATGTCTCCCAGTTTCCGTCCATCATCCTAGGGTGTCCAGTTCACTCACGAGGCCTCCTCACCCCAGCCAGGGCAATGACTCCGTCCACTTCCATCTGAGGACCCCAGGCTCCAGCAATGATGGTCTGGTCCCTGGTCCTGGGAGGAGCAGTCCAGTGCTCTGCCATGTTCTGTACTAACCCCGGTCCTCCGCCCCAGGACCCCAGGCTGCCCTCTGTTCCCACGGACGGCAGGGGGTAGAAAGCATTTACTGAACTCAGCGCAGCGGGCCATCGATGGAGAACCAAGGTCACTAAACTCTTCTACGAGCCTGTTAGACCCTCAGGGTCCCCGCCCCAAGCCCGTCAATTTCTAAAGGAAGAATCAGGCCTTCCCTCCCTATCATGGAGCCCCATCCCCATGGGGTGCGGGTCCGGGGCTTACCCTCGTCCGAGCGGTGGACACAGGGCCCCAGACCTTGCCCTCCCCGGGCCGCCCTGGGGATGTCCCGGCCCTGCTGACCCTGGGAACCTCGGGACCCCAGCCCATCAGCCCAGCATCTCTCCCCATCACGCCCCTGCTGTGCTCTGCCGGCGTGTTGCTAGGAGACTGGGTGCCGGCAGCGGTCCTGCGTGTGGCTCAACGGCTGGCGCGTGCGCACATCCACTTCCCAACATCCGACCTTCAGCCGCCGAGCCGCCTAACAATCGGGGTGTCCGCCGAGGTGGCGTCCTTCGGGATTCTCGGGGCAGCCGCGGACATGTCCTGAAGCATGGAGAGGATAAATAAGATACCTATTCTGGGCCTGGGCGCCTGCAAGGTGAGGGAGCCTCCCAGTGGAGGAGGGGCGCCTTTCCTTTCCGAGGTGCGCCCTGAGTGGAGGGGCCACCTGCGGGGCCACCCACCAGGACACCCGCGGGGACACCTGCTGCAACGGTGACCCGGGTCAGCTGGTCACCCATACCTCCCTTGGGGCGGCCTCCGCCTGTGTTTGATAGATGGACTTGTTAGATATCAGGTTTTCTGATAGTGTAGGTTGTGCCTCTGGTATTTCATATTGAGGCCATATCATAATTATTCAGAAATAATGTTTGGGGAAGCACAGAAGAAAAGATTGTCAGGCTTGGGTTGGGGCAGAGAGAGTGACAGTCACCTAACTAGATCAGAACAGCAGCCAACCTAGAAGATTCGGAAATGTTATCTGGATCAAAAGGATAAGGAACTGCTGACATTGCTAACTGGGTTTTAAAAAGAAACTTTGGAACTCCATCTCCTTCCCTCTGTAAAAACCTGACAGCAGAAGCACTTTGGCGCTTTCTCTACTTTGGACTTTGTAATTCCTGTCAGCGATTAAGACACAGCACTAACTAAAAAGCCTTTCAAATGTGCTTTTTTTTTTTTTTTGAGGAAGATCAGCCCTGAGCTAACATCCGTGCTAATTCTCCTCTTTTTGCTGAAGAAGACCGGCTCTAAGCTAACATCTATTGCCAATCCTCCTTCTTTTTTCTTTTCCCCAAAGCCCCAGTAGATAGTTGTATGTCATAGTTGCACATCCTTCTAGTTCCTGTATGTGGGACGCGGCCTCAGCGTGGCTGGAGAAGCGGTGCGTCAGTGTGCGCCTGTGATCCGAAGCCGGGACGCCAGTAGCAGAGCTTGCACACTTAACCGCTAAGCCACGGGGCCGGCCCAAATGTGCTTCTTTTTTAATACTTAGTCTTTGATAAAAAGATGTTCATTTAAGAAGGTACATAGGAAGTTACTGGATGAGTAGGAATTAGAATGATCAACCCCTGCTCATCAAATTATTATTTCAGTTATTTCTTCTATCCACTTATCAACTGTTAGAGGCCAAGGATGTAGTTTTATTCATTGTGGTTCTCAGCATCTAGCCAAGGACATGCAGTTGGCAGCTGTTCAGTAAACACTCGATGGGTTTAACTGTTTTGACCTCTTGCCTGACTTTAATTCTTTTTTGTGCTGTGTCTTCTGCACATAGCTCCATGTAGGAGTCCACACCCGTGTTCTTGCACACAGGGTAAGGAAAAGCTGTAAGAACTGTGCTTAACAGGCCAAAACTTTCCTTTGTTGTTGTTATTGACTTGAGTTGCATAGAATTGCATTGATCACAGTCTCCCTTCCCTGATCCATGCAAAGGCTTGTTTTAGTTACTTTGGATGGTGTAACAACCCAAATTACCGTCAGCTGTCTCTTGCACCAGAGATGCTACATCGACAACCAACCACAAAACTCGGTGGCTTACAACAGCATGTGGTCTATTACTCCTGCACGTAGGTGGTCATCTGGGCAGCTCTGTGGATCTTGGCCTGACTCCCTCACACTTCTGGGGTTTGTCCGGTCTCAGTTGGGACCATTGTGGCTACTCCGCTTGGCTTCATTTACCTCTCCTCCTCAAGCAGGCTAGTCTGGGGGTATTCTCATGGTAACAGGTGAGGCACAAGAGAGCAGGGAGGACCATGTGGGCCCTGTGAGGTGTCCTGAGGCCTGAGTCTGGAACTGGCCTCTCTGTGGCATTTTATTGGCCAAAATAAAACACAAGGACAGCCCAGATTCGAGAGGTGGAAATATAGCTCTGACTGGGCCTGTGGAATCACGTTAAATCTATGGATCAATTTGGGGAGAATTGACATCTTTATGATGTTAAATCCAGCTTTCTACAAGCATGGTATCTTTCTCTGTTAGTAAATTATACTCCAAATATCCTAATATCTAGATTTTCCTCTGAATATTTCATCTCTAAGTATCTCTTCTTGTGGTTGGATGGTTTTTCCTGTAGAGAACATACACTTCATTTGCTGGACTTATTCCTGGATACTTGATAGTCTGTGATACTATTGGAAATGACACTTCTCTGAAATTGTTTTCAACTTGTTTGCTGTTGGTGCATAGAAAAACAATCATCTTTAGTATATTCATTACGTTTCCAGCCACTTTGCTAAGCTATACTATTATTTCTATTAATTTGCCTATATAGATTCTTTTGGATTTTCTACATAAATGATCATATCTGCGAATAATGATAGTTTCATTTCCTTTTTTCTAATCCTTAAGTCCCAAATTGCCTTTTCTGAACTGCTTGTTCTGGCTAGGACCTCTACCGTAGTGGCCATTCTCGCCTTGTTCCTGATTTTAAAAGGAACGCTTCTGATATTTCCAGGATTAGGATGATGTTTGCCCTAGGTATTTTGGCTTGTTTGTTTTTGTTCTTGATTTTGTTCTTGCTGTTGTTTTAAATATGGACATTCTTTATCAGGTTAAAGAGTGTCCTTTTAGCCTAATTTATTGAGAGTTTAAATCAAGAATGGGTGTTAAATCTTATCCAACATCGACTGAGATGATTTTTTGTTGTTGTTTTTTTTCCTCTTTTAATCTACTAATGTGGTAAATTATTGTGGATTTTCTAATATCAGGCCATTCTTGGATATCTAAGTTAACTCAATGTGGGTGCGTATATTATTTTTCCATATATATCGTTGCATCCAATTTGATATTATTTTACTTAGGATTTTTGCAACTATATTCATAAGTGAGATGAATGTGTAACTTTCCTTTTAATATTTTTGTCTACTTTTGATTTCAGGATTATGCTGCTTTGGTAGAATGAGTTGGAAATCTTCCCTCTTTTTCTTTTGTCTGAAAGATTTTGTGTTAAATTGGGATGATTTCTTTCTTGAAAACTTTATAGAGCTCTGTGTGTGTGTGTGTTTAACTAATTGCTTCGTTTTTGAAATAATTGTAGGACAATTGAGCTTTTATTTCTTCTTTTTTTAAATTGTGGTAACATCGGTTTATAATGCTTTATTATTTCTTCTTAAGTTTTTCCAGGAATTTTTTCATTTTGTTTCATTTTTCTGAGTTGTTGGCTTATAGTTATTGATAATATTTTCTTATATTTTAAATCTATTTTATCTGTATGGGCTATTTTTCATTCATGTCATTTTGGAAAAAATGGTCTTCTCAGTCTTGTCTGAAGTTTATCTGCTTTCTTAAGCTTTTTCAAAGAACCAACCTCTAGCTTTGTTGATTTTCTCTATCGTATCTTTATCTGATATTCCTTCTTATTTTTATTTTCTCTTTCCTCCTAATTTCTTGGTGTTCTTTTTCTCACTCAGATGGATACTTGGTTCATTAGCTTTCAGCCACTCTGAATCTGTTCCTTGTTCAATGAAGACCATTATACTGGTCCATCTCGTGGGGTACGTGTGAAGTTCAAGTGAGGGGTGCTTTGTGCTCTGTGAAGCTCTCTGGGAACGTTCCGTCTCCTGGTGCCGGGAGCCTTTGCCGTGCTTCTCCCTCTGTTTCCAGTCCTCGTCGTTGAGCAGCCCCGTTTACAGGGAGTGCCTTCTTTTCTGAACTTCCACATGCCCCACAGAACCCGTGCTGTGCCTGGGGCTTGGGCAGATGCTCCGTGTGATGGATTATCTTTGTGTGAGTACACACCAGTTTACCTTTACACTGGGACTTGTGGTCTTTGTGGATAGAGGGTGAGTCTTAACCTCCTTGTATCTCGGTTATTATTATTATTCATCCTACAATTATTGATTCCTTTATTCATTCAGGAAGCACAGCGTCTAGCTCGGTTACTTGCAGGGACCAAAAATACCCATAGAGTTTTCCCCAAATAAGTCAAGGAGTTGGAAAGTAGATTACCTATAAATCCTTTCTGACTCTGACATCCCCTAGTTTTCAGACTGATTGACACCAGTACCAATTCAGTGACTTCCTTTTTTATGTATTGTTGACTCTATGTTTTAGTGAAAAGGGGGATTTGGGGTTGAGTTCTCCTGAATGTGGGTGGATTGCTTCTGTCTTGTTCATTTCGCAGGCGGCTCCATGGGAAGTGATGGAGGCTGTGAAGGTGGCAATAGACGCGGGGTATCGGCACTTCGACTGTGCCTACTTGTACCGCAGCGAGAGTGCAGTTGGAGCAGGGATCTTGTGGAAGATCAAGGAGGGCGTGGTGAAGAGGGAGGACCTGTTCGTTGCCAGTAAGGTAGGACTTCCCGGGCAGGGAGAGCAGGGTGTAGACCACTCTGGTCTGGTCTGGGGTTTGGGTAACAGTGGCTGAAGTAGCGTGTGGAGGATGCCCAGGCCCCTCAGAGGTGCTGATGACTCTATTTTTACCTGAACCAGACCTGACAAGGACTTCTCCAGCTTTGTGTGCACGCCAAGAGTGGAGCAGGTGAAGGTATCAGGGTAGTGTGACAAGCGGAGGGGACAACCTGAGCAAAGGCACGAGGCACAGGCAGTGTGCGGGGGGTACAGGGGCCTATAAGAAGCTTGCCGTTCCTGGATGGAAAAATGTTAGGCAGCAGAGAACAAAGAGAAGTGAGGCTGAAGGAGTGGACGGGCCAGATCTTGGAAGTCCTGGATGTCATTTAGAGAGCTTACTCTTTTTCCCATAGGCAGAGGAGCAGCGTTGGAGGTTGTTAAGTAGGGGGCTCATATTCTATATCAGCGAGACTTGTGTGTAGGCAGGAGATTGTAGCAGCTGAAAGAAGCGTTTGACCAGGAGACAGGAGACATCAATGGCAGCGTAGGTGGGAGGTGATGGCAGCCTGAACTAGGACAGAGGGAGACGATGGAGAAGAGGAATGGTTATGAAGGCCAGTTAGGAGCGGGCCCTGTAGGAATGCCGGGGTAGACCGAGATGGTGGAGAATTAAAGAATTCCTTTGCATTCGACTTGGAAGCAGAATATCAAGACCGTTAGGCCAGGAGTCACGGGTTCACGTTCTAGCTGTGACAGACAGGGTCAGTCACTGGATGGCTCAGGGTCCCAGCTTCCTCATGTAAAAGGATGTTCTGGATCTGATCATCTCCCAAGTGATTTAAATTTCCATAATTGCAAGATTCAGTGTTGTTTCTGTAGTAGATTTGCTTTTCTGTTTTAATTTAAGGTAATTTCTGTAACTCCTCAATGCTGTCTATAGTTAGAGCAGAGGGCTGGTATAGGAGAGGCCTGGGTGTGAAGGTGGCCGAGGAGCAGAAATCCCTCGTGACACTGACGGTAGGGCGATGGGTGACCGGGGATTTCTAAGGCTGGCCAGTAGTCTGGGGACTAGTTATTCCTGAGTGAGTCACAGCCAGCAATGCAAGTGTGCTCATTATGCTTGAAGTTTGGAAAAGTCATGGAAATATAATTGAAAGAAATAAATCACTTATATCCTCACCATCTGGAGAGTACTATTGTTTACACTATGATGTATTTACTTATAGTTTTTTTCTGTTTTGTTAATATGCTGGGTTTGTAGTTTGTTTTTATATCCTCTAATCCTCTTTCTTTTATTTATTTTTGTTTTTTCTCTTGCTGTATTGGACCTTCAGATTAGTTTCTGTCACAGTTAGTGCTAAATAATGAGGGGAAAGCAAGTGGCTGATTTTCTCCTTAAAGGGGGTGGATATCTAACAAGGATAAGGTGTATATATTAACTTCCCCACTTCCTTAATGTGCATGATCGTGAGGTCTTAGGAACAGAGGACCTTTAACATGCTGGCCATTTAAGTGAGAAACACAACATAGAAATTCTTCTGATTTTTCCTCATATCCTTTCTGCCTGCAGGCACTTTTTTTTGGGGGGGGTCCCAATAGATCCAAACAACCAGACAGCCTTCCCATCAAATATTTCATGGGGTCCCCAACTCCCCTTTAGTAGAAATCAGGCAGAAGGAGCCCAGCTTTGGAGATCCCTCCCTGAGGGGGTCCTGGAACCGTCTGCAGATAACACCAGTGCCCTACTATATTTATAGCACCTGGTCTTGGATGTTGTTCATCCTCCAGATCCTGGGTTTGTGGGGCCCGGGGCAGACGTTGGGTTAACACAGGCTCTGTTGCGTGTGTCAGTGCTTCTTTCCTCTCCTCTGTAGCTCTGGTGCACCTTCCATAAGAAGTCCCGGGTGAAATTAGCATGTACCCAGAGTCTCAATGCCTTGAAGCTGAGCTACTTGGACCTCTACCTCATACACTGGCCCATGGGTTTCAAGGTACCGTTCAGGAGGTGGTGAGATACCCTGCTGGCAGCACCTTTCTTCCTGGTTGTGCCCCATCGGGTGGTGGAAAGAACTTGGGCCAGCAGCTGGGGCATTTGGGTTCCTGGGCTGCATCAGCCACGCACACATATCCAGTTATCTCGGGGCCTCAGCTCAGGAGAGGCCTGGACTTGGGGACCTCCGAGGCCCCCACAGTTCTGACATACTGTCGTTCTTTCTTCCAAGCCAGTCATTTCTTCAAGCCACGAGAGTGGTGGTTTTCCCATAGGTCTTTAGGTGAGAGCAGGTGTGAGACAGGAAATACTGAGCTCAGAGCGGTTGCTGTGTCACCTCTCAGGGCCCCGTGAGCGTCTTGGCCCCGTCTCTCCGTGCAGGGCCTGTTCTCTTTGGGGAGTGGCTGCTCCTTTGCGATATGGCAGCCATTCACTTGTCCACCTGCAGCAGGGTCCAGTGGGCGTGGTGGTGGATGATTTCTTCACTTGGTTTTATTCTCTTCACTTGATTGCGTCTCACACCCCCTCTCTCCCTCTACACCCTGCTCAGCAGCCTCCCAGCCTCAGTCTCACGTTGGCCTGGCCAGGATGTCCCTGCACTGCTGCCCCAGACCAAGATGACAGCCTGCCTGGACAAGGACACGGTCACACAGTGGCACCGGGGTGTATAGCAGTCCTTGGAAGGATTCCCTCCACATCAGAGTGGGCGAGCGCCGCTCAGTTATCTCCCGTGTGTGCCGCTGTTGGAGGATCTCATGATGCACCAACACAAAAACCACTTCATTCTAGAGCAGCTTTACTTGAAGGCTTTGTGTTTAGTTTCACTAGAGGATGTGGCAGCTGTGCATCCGTCACATCAGTAGAGAACAGAGATGCCCAGAAAGCAGAACAAGAGAACATGACTCAGAAATGATTTCTGTTTCCTTGAAATCCAGTGCACTCAGAGAATAATACTTAAAATAATGATAACAGCTGGGTTGCACTTACTATCAGCTTTTAGTATTGTTTTAATGAAGAAGCAGGTCCCGTTTTAGGCTCATTACACATATGGTCTCATTTAATCCTCACAACAGCTCTGTCAGGTGGGTCCTGTTAATATCTCCATCGTACAGATGATGAAACTGAGGCACAGAAAGATTTAAGATTATCGGGGCCCAGAAGCAGATGCTCAGGTCAGACACCCGTCGCTCTGCCGGGCCCTCATCTTCTGGTAGATGCCTCGGTGGTAGAAAAGGAAAAGGCCTCCGATCGCTCAACAAATTACCAAGTGGAATTCCATTTATGAGACATTGAGAGTTAACGAAATAAAGCATAAATGCTTAGAAGGGGAATCCAAACATCATGCAGAAATACTGAGACTCCTTGGGCCTTATCCTCAGTGCGGTGTAGACAGCACGTCTTCCGCCAGGTGGGAACCGCTGGGCCTGGTGTGCTGTGTGCTGGTGGGGAGAGCAGCATCCGAGGCCGAGGCCAGGAAAGCACTTGTGCGGAGGCAGAGAGAAATGTCAGCGTGGGAGGTGGCTTTGCAGTGAGCTGGTTGCTTCAGTTCATCATGAAAAATTCCTCTAACGTGTGGGCCAGGCTGCAGTTTTAGACCTTCTCCCCACTGCTGCTCAAGAGAAGGAAGCGTTAAGTAAACACGAGTTGTCCACCATGCCCCCTGTGACATGCTACGTGGAGCCGTGTGTGGGCTAGGCAGGTGGATTGTGAATCGGTACCTGCAGCTGCTCTGAAGGCTGACTTCACACTCGCCCTTTCAGGCCGTCTCTCTCTGCCCTACACTCCCTCTGCCCTACTCTCCCTCGCACTTTGTGTTAATTCTCACTCCATTCCCTCTCACTGTGATGAGAATTCTAAGAAAAGAAGATCCTAACAGTGGGCTTGGGAGAAGGTCGATGGAGGGAGCTCTTAAGATGTGGAGGAAGACCCTTTTTCCCATTCTTTACCTGAAGTTGCTAAATGATTTTCTGACAACAGGCAAGGACTCAGGGTCTCCCTGTCCCGTCTGTGGGAGGTGGGCCGTGAACTTCAAGGCTAACAGGAACTTTGCTGGCCATCCAGTCCATCCAACCCTTGGTCTTGTACAGGTGACGCCAGGCCTTGGGAAGGGAAGGCAGGCGGCTTAGTGTGAGGGCCATGGCTCCAACCCAGACTTGCTGATCCATGCTCCAGTGCTCCCCCCTATGTCTTGATTCTCCCTCACCCCAGTCTTCTCTTCAAGGGTGACCACAAGCCCCCAGTAAGCTCTTTTCTTCTGGTTCTCACAGTCTGGGAAAAAAGACGTGCCCGTGGACCACAGTGGCATGATTATACCCAGTAACACGGACTTCCTGGACACGTGGGAGGTAAGCTGAGCTGTGAGATCCTGAGATTCTTGTTTCAGAGACGCTGGGTTGTCTCCTCGAGATGGAGGTGTACAGTGTGAAGCTGGAACGGATACCTGGCTGAGGACCTCAGAGACCTCAGACAGCTGTCTGGTTTCCTTAGTTTTGTTTGGTTCATCTCTGAAACATTTATTTTAGCAATAACTAATTCAGATTTCCTTTTTATTCTCAAATGTTTATTTTTTTGGTTAAAAAATATCACATGGTCATTACAGAAAATACAGAAGAGTATAAAAAATAAAATTAAAAAATCCATTTTTCCGTTATCCGGCAGTAACCACTACTAATGTTTTATAATTCCTTTTCACTCTTTTGTAAGCATTTCAGAGTGACAACTTTGGCAGCATGGTGAAGTTTGGGGTGGGGCTGGGAGACTGGAGGGAGGGTTACCACGTTTCAAGCCTGCTGCCCGAGTCCAGGCGAAAAGCCATGAGGCGTGAAGTAAAGTGATGAGCGCGGGGGTCAGGGGAGGTGATGGGCGTCAGATGCGTGGCAGTGAATTGAGGGTGTGGAAGGAGGACCAGGAGGGTTGCTGCTGACCCCAGCTTCTAGCACAGCCGACCAAGTGTGGGTAATCTTACAAATCGACACGGGGGTAGAGGAGGGCAAGTGTGAGGGCATGGGGGGGAAGCAGGTTCAAATTGGAACTTGCTGAGTTTTGGGAGATGATTCTGGAGCCATTTGTGTGAGATTGACGGCTGCAGGCATGGGAGCACGGAGGTCATCCATGCAGGGCAAGGAAGAGAGCACAGGCAGGGAGGAGTGCCAAGCCAGGCGGTGCTCTCCTCCCAGTGAAGCAGAGATTACCAGAGATGTCTGAGCTGTCAGGACCAGTGTCAGGAGCCAGTCCTTTCTGTCACACTATGTTGCCTCTCCTGAAAGACTTGGGTTAAACTCTGGGCTTTTGTGCAGCATGAATGAGGACCCCAGTGATTGTTGGAGCTTTGAGGCAATAGCTGGTGCACACTGACTTGGTCACCAGCCCCAGGGCCACTGTGAACTTGTCGCTGACACTTACCGTGGCCTCAGGCCACACTCTTTCTGAAGCTGAGGGCCAGTCCGGCCTGCTGGTCCGTGATCAGCACAAAACTTTGGGTCACTCTGCCCTCGAGTCCCTTAAAATGTTAAATGGAGGGTGGACTAGGAGAGTGGTGATGCATCATGGTGCTTGAAAAGGTTATACTCCCGGTGGCAGGAGAGGCCAGGAGAGAAAGCCACAGTGGACATCCTCGCCAAACCCCATATCTGCAGATACGCAGGGTACCAGCGGCAACAAGAGCTGAGGTGCCGAGTGTTTGCTAGATCCCGCCCTGAGCTGATGCTCCGTGTGCATCCTTTGATGGAATCCTGGAACCAGCCCTGGGACCTGGACAAGGTCATCCCCTCTTGCAGACGAGGACATGGAGGCTTAGTGAGGTCATCTGATGTGGCTGAGGTCCCTCAGCTACGAAGTGATGCACCTGGGAGACCTTGAGTGTGGAAATGCTGATGAAGTCTTGAGTGAAATAGTTAAAACTGGTGGGCGGAGCCAGTGTTAGAGTAGTGCGCCGTGTAGCATCAGTGGAGCAGACAGAGCCCGTACGCCCAGATAACTCCTTGTTCTCTCCAGGCCATGGAGGACCTGGTGGTTGCGGGGCTGGTGAAAGACATCGGGGTGTCCAACTTCAGCCACGAGCAGCTTCAGAGAATTTTGGATAAACCCAACCTGAGGTTCAAGCCAGTGACTAACCAGGTGAGCTTGTGGGCAGCCACAAGGCTTTCAGGGATGGAGTTGGCTTTTCAGCTGTTATCTCCACGTGGCCACACTGGACACAGAAGCAGGGGACAGAGCATGAAGGAGGCATTTTCCCCCACGTCTGTTAAAAATCCTGACTTAGAGAGCAGTGAGGCAAGTGACGGGTGAATAGGCAAGAACCTTTGCTTTAAAGGCTGGTCTCAGGTGGTGCCCTTGGAAGGAAGGGCTTGGCTGAGCTTGGTTTTCCACTGGCCGTTGTGGGGGGCATGACCAGGTGTGTGCAGAAGTGGTGAAGCGGCCTGGCAGGCCCTCATCCCTCATTGATGACGGTGCTCGAAGGTGGCGCCAGCTTCCTGGGCAAGCACCAGGTACCCCTCTCCCCTCCCTGCAGCCCGTGCAATTGCAGCCTGAGAGGGGTGGAGAGCTGAGAGAGGTCAGACCAGGTGCACAGACTCTGCTGAGACCTTACTGCAGAGAAATGACTTATGAGGAAAGACTTACTGTGTTTTCTAGACCAGCTGGCTTTGTATGTAGAAAGGGCATTTTTTGCAGTACTTTATTTTATTTGAACTTCTTATTAAAGTGTTATGTGCATACAAAAAAATGAACCCATAAGAATAGGGCTTGATAAATTCTCATGACTGAACCTAGCTGTGTGACCAGCATCCAGATCAAGGACCAGGGCCCCACCGGCACCTAGAAGCCCCCAACCGTGCCCCTTCCCCCAACAGGCAGCCTCTGCTCTGACTTCCAACAGCATCGATTAGGTTTTGAACTTTATACAGATAAATTACACAGTACATACTCTTGGATCTGGCTTCTTTCACTCAACATTCTGTTTGTTAGAGTCTTCCGTATTTGTGTATGATCACTCATCATTCTTATTTCCATGTGGTATGCCACCGAGTGAGTTCACCATTCTGTTGTTGATGGGCGCTTGGGTAGTTCCCAGGTTGGGGCTGTTCAGAATAGAGCATGAGGTTCTGTTCTTTAAATCGAGGTGTGATGTGGATACAGGACAGTGCATGGATCTTAGAGGGCATAGCTCAGTGGATTTCCACAGGTGAACACGCTCAAGCATTCAGCACCCAGAGCAAGAAACAGAACTTTCTCCGCCTCCCTGAAGCGCTTCTAGTCACAGCTCGTGAAGAGTAGCCACTGTCCCGAGGTGTAGCATAGCTCAGTGTCTCTGCTTTAAAACCTTACGGGCACAGAATCTGCTTCTGTGCGTGACAGCTCCTTCTCTGTCTTAGGTTTTGTTGAGCAGCAGTTTAAACCGTGGAGGGCTGTTGTCCAGTCTGTGGGCTGAGGAGGGGCTGGAGGGTCTGTTTCCTGATTTGGATCGTGAGGCCCCAGGAACGCGCCCTTGCAAGAGTTTTCAGAGAGCCTGGGGGCTTCTCTTTTGGGGTTCTCCTGACGGCCCATCGTGTTCCTGAGAGCCTGCTTGGCACCCGCAGAGGCACTGTTGGTAGTTCTTACTTCACTCTAAACGAGTATTTATTTTAAGTCAACTTAGGACCTAGGATTGTGCATGAGAATTCAGAGAATCGTGCACTCAAGTTTCTTAAATGGTCCGTTGGAGTCGCCTGTAGCATGTGCTTGTCACATATAACTCCCAGCTTCATTCACTCACTCAACAAAAACCCCTGCTTCATGATGCTCACATCCTAGTGGGACCAGATAGACAAAGCAGATAACTGCCACACGTGAGATGTCGGGTAGTGCCCGTGCTGCGGGGGAGGTAAAGGAGAGGAGCAGGTGGGAGGGCCTCACTCAGCAGGTGCCATGGGAGAATCCAGATGACGTAGGTGTCCCTCAGGCTCATTTACAGCGGGCTGGCATCCCAGCGATCACTTAGTCCAGCCTTTTCACGTCACAGCGTAGACCCTTGAGCCTTGAGATGCTCACGTAGCTCGTCCATGACAGAGCCCACATGTGAATGCAGGCCCTCTTTTCGAGCGTGCTGTGAGACTCAATTTCCTCTGGTAAGCTGCGATTCTTTTTGTAGATCGAGTGCCACCCGCATCTTACTCAGAACAACCTCATCCGTTATTGCCAGTCCAGAGGTGTGTCTGTGACTGCTTACCTGCCTCTTGGTGGTTCCAGGTAAGGCTGGTCAGTGGTTGTGAGTCGAGGCCCTAGCAGGAAATGGATGCACTTCCAATTTAATTTGGTTATTTAGCCGAGAGCCTAACGAAGTCGTGGGCGGGGCGTGGAGAGACCACAGGCTCCCTGCAGGTGGCGCTTTCTGAACCTCTGGACCCTGTGGGCTCAGGGAGGGAGGCGGCACTGGGAGCCAGAGGAGAGCCGCTTTGAGGGCTCGAGAAGGGCAATGACCATTTAGGGACATAACCAGCTGGGAGCAACCTCTTTGCTGAGCCCTTGACTACATGTGGTCCTCCTCTAGACCTCTGTCGGGATGGTTCACGGACATCTCCATCTCTATAGAATTCCAACTCCACATGTCAACTTTCCCCAGATCCTGAGCTGTATACTGTGGTCCCTACAGCAGCTAATGAGCCACCACCCACTCAGCCACCTCGGCCAGAAAGCTGGGAGTCACCCCTTTCTGATCCCCACAGTCCAGTCCATCAGCAACGTCCACGGATTGCCCTGTCTGTCTCCTGGTCTCTGTCCTCACCGTCGCTGCCTTAGTTAAGTGGGAATTCTCTCAGGTTATTATAGCCGCCTCTTAACTCCTGCCAGATCTGCCCCGTTCCAATCCATGCCCACACAGTAGCTGAAGGGAGCTGTCTCAGTATGCTCATGTCACTTTCCTGCTTAAAACTCCTTCAATTCTTGGCATGGCCTAAGAGTTCTTGCTGGTCTGGGCTCTGCCTACCTTTGGCCTCATTTCTTCCTGCAAACACTCTTGTACTGTTTGAAACCACGTGGGGTTCCTTGAATGGGACATGTTCTTTCTGGTCTCTGTGTATACAGTGTTTGCATATACTGTTCTCTTTACCGAGAAATTCTGTTAATGTCTTTTTTTTTTTAATCTGGCTAACTCCAATTTCTAATGAAAGGCAAAATTCGGCATCACCTCCTCCAGGAAGCCCAGCTAACTCCCCTTATTCACGTTTTGTCCACAGCCCATGTCACACTATCTTGTCATTACTTTCTTCTCAGTCTCTTTCATTTGTCAGAGCTACTTCAAGGCACCCAACGCATGACTCTCTGCCCAGCCCCCAGCTCAATGCCTGGGACATATCAGGGGTCCAGGAAAGGCTGGGATTATTTGACTGTTATTACCTGTGTGTTCCCCACGTGAAATGGGGCGTGTGTGTGTGTGAACTTGGTAGCAGCTCGGGAATTCCTAGAAGGCCGGGTCGTATCTGCGGCTGATCTTGGGGTGGTGGAACCCTGTGAGAGAGCGAGTGGTAAGAGCCATGCGAGGGGAGGGCAGCCGGCTGAGATCCTGGGCCCATGCCCAAATGGAATGGGCTGTGCTCATGCCTTCAGTAGATGGTGAGGGCTGTTTCCAGGCCAGTGCTTGAACATAGTAACTGCTTAATAAATGTTTGCTGAAAAAAGTGGCTCTCCAGAGTGATTAGAGCCCACCCCCTGCTGGACAGATATCAAGGGATAGAGCCGCCATCATCGTCTTCAAATTCTCTGCACTAAAGATTCCACGTGTTCACAGTGTCAACTTTTTCTTGGTATTGGAGGTGAACTTTTCTGAAATTATCATCCTCACCAACCATTATTTATCATGGTGCTGTAGGCTCTGCTCTTGGTCCTACAAGAAGAGCCAAGAAGTCAGAGAGCCTTTAGATGTCAGAGGGGCCCGTCAAAGCGTGGAGGACCTGTAGTCTTACACGGTCTGGGGATGCCACCTGGTTCTCAGAAAAAGCACCAACTATACAGGAAAGGCCGTGTGTCCAGCTGTCTCCCCCGAAATGTTACAGGAGTCCTCTCTAGATGGGGGGATTTGGGTGATAAGCTTTTCTGCATCATTTACATTTCCTACACTGAGCAAGTATCATGATCAGACAAAAATAAATCTAGATTTTCCATTCTGGAGAAAATTTTGTTTTTTTAAGAAAGAAGCATGCACGTTTGATCTCACAGCTGCCTGCCCTGTGCTCTTCTCTCCAGAGAGGGGGTGGACCTGATGGACGACCCCGTGATTCAGAGGATGGCACAGAAGTACAACAAGTCTGCAGCTCAGGTAGGTGGGGCCTGCCCGCTGGGCTGGGAGGACACTCCTCTGCCTCATCTTGGGGCCATGAACTGGAAAGAGGAAGGATCCACTCACTCTGGGCAGGCTGATGACTGACTAGAACTTTCCGGTGTTCCCACCAGCACATTGGGGGCCGCCATGTTCCGTTTCTTCCGGCCACACGCTCTTGTCTCTCAGCCCATCCATGCCCAGCGGGGGATTCTGTGCATGTGGAGCACCGTGGCTGTGTCCCTCAGCCCCACAGCTGATGCAACAGAAAAGTAGTTTCTCTCTCTCTTCCTTGCTCTAATGTCCAGTTGTTTGGGGGACCGGACTCATTGATGAAGGTCCTCTGAGCGTCTCCTTGGCTGGCGGCAGTCACCACAGACACACTGCTGGCAGTGTTCAGAAAGTGCTAGTTTGGTTTCTAAAGGACTCTGAAACAAAAGAGCTTGTAGAGCGAACAGAAGCTCCTGCTGCCCCTGAGTTTTGGACTTTGCGCACAATAAAACACAAACTCTAAGGGAGATGACTGAGCTGACCCGATGTGATTTCCCTCTGTCTGATATTAGACTTTATTTTTTCCCGCAGATTTTGATCCGATTTCAGATCCAAAGGAATGTGATAGTGATTCCCAAGTCCATCACCCCAAAGTGGATTCTCGAGAACATCCAGGAAAGTGTTCTCCCTCTTTTATGTCAGGGGGTTTGGTGTCATGTGTTAGCTAGGGGGGCTCACCACTGTGACAAGCAGGCCTGGCCCCTGTGGCTTTGACCCAGCCGAGGGGGAGGATGAAGCATCAGCCACATCAAGGGGATCCCAACAGCGGGGACAGGCACCTAGCAGCCTGGGAGCTGGCCGCCAGGGTTACAGGGGAAGGAGAGGTGACGAGTGGGCGGGGTGCTGGCCAGAGCTCACGGGACTGCCCGCCCCCAGCGCTGCTCAGTGATGCTCACCAGGCTGCCCGACCTTGATGTGCAGGGACCCTCCAAGAACTGTTCACTTTCAAACTACGCCCCAGCGCCCAGCTCTCCCTCCAGTCAGAACTGTTGACAGAGTCCCTGATGCTGCTAGACATCGGGGTGGAGGGTCTCCTGGGGGTCGAGGCTGGGGGTCGGTGGCATGTCCCCTCCTGGGGGCAAACGGAATCACTGTGCACTCTTCTTTCCCAGCTCCGCAGCTGTGGGGCGAGGTTGGCTCACCCCTGTGAAAACCTCCGATTTTAGGAATGGGTCACAATCCTCATGGGTGTTAGGGGCAAAAAAAGCAGGGCTTGGGGGTGGGCAGCTTAGAACACTGTTTTAAAAGGAACAGAAATAAAAATGGTGTTGTGTTATAGATAGTGTTAGAGTTAATGGTCCCGGAGTCTGTTGGGGTTTTTTTGAGCAATGGGAAAAATTCTTTGCTGTATCATTTAACTGTTGCAGTGTGTCCCTTTGTCCCTTGCTCCTATGGGACGAAGGCTGTGCATCCTGTCTTCCCCAGGGCTCCTGACCAGCCCAGGCTCAGCCAACCTGGGGCAAATGGTCCAGGTCCAAGAGCATCCCGGAGCCGAGGCTGACGTTCAGGGGAAGTTTTGGGTGTTACGTGAAGTGTCTCATTTGCATCTTTGTTTCCCCATAGTGCTTTGCAGGTAACATGTGGCAACTAATGGTCACTGAACTGAATTTCCTGTGAACATTTTATTTTGGTTCCAGGTGTTTGATTTTGAATTATCAGAAGAGGATATGAATGTCCTCCTCAGCCTGAACAGAAATCTCCGATTGGCAAGGTTCCCCATGTAAATATGGCTCCTTTACTACTTTCGGAAAATTCAGATTCAATGATTGGTTCCCGAGTGTGTTTGTTATATACATTTTAGGTTAATTACACCTTTTTCTCATGATTCTTTTCTGTTTGAGGATGGGCCACTGGCTGAATCCAAAGACTGATTGAATACAGTGGGGAGTTTAAAAATATGTAACTGTGTCTTTTAAAATGTTTCTCTTAAAAATAATAATCCTTGTTTGTTTCTGTTTTTGTTTTCTGTTTTTCAGAGCTGAAAATCATAAGGACTATCCTTTCAACATACAGTACTGAGGGCAGCCTCACCTCTTCCTCCTCCTGCTCGACCCACACAAACCCATCCGTGTCTGAAGCGTCCACCCGCCCTGCGTAGGGCCTGCGCTCTCCGAGGCAGGGGCGGCCTCGGCCAGGGAAGGGAGGGACAGGGTTTGATCTGGGTGGATTCCTGCTTGGAGGAGAAGCCGAGTTCCCTGAGAAATCCAAAGACTGGACTGTGTTCTGTGACTGAAAGAGGAGGCGTCCCGAGAGCAGTGACCGCTCTCCATGGAGAACCCACACAGGAGGTAGGAATCTTCTGAGCGCACAGTGGGATGGGATTTTCACAAGATGTGCCACGTGGCCTGACCCTCAAAAAAAACATATTTAATGACTCATCAACCATTTGCCTTCATGTTAAAAGAAATTGGGATAGGAAATACGGAAACGTGTTCAGGAGCTGAGATGAGAGGACCGTGAACCTCGCCTCCCACTGCACTGCTGCAGCTCTTACCATCCTGGCCTGTCTCGCCTTGTCCGAACTCCTCTGCCCCCACTCGTCCCCCGAGATGATCCTACAGCAGAATCCGGACCTTCACACATCCAGAAGAAAACTGGGTGAAGGCAGGGAGCTGTCTCAGTTGAACACAGAGGCCCTTGCTGTCATTCAAAATCTAAATTGTAATTTTTAAATTCCATTTTTTAGGAAAGTCTTCTGGGGAGTCAAATTATACCCGTGGAAACTCCAAATCAGAGATGAGATTCGGGTCATCCCCCGCCCGGGCACTCAGTGTTCAGTCTGTTCAGACTCAGTGTATCAGGAGGGGCAGGAGTCCTGTCCTCTTACGAAAGGACAGCTGGGTGTCCATGCAGCCTTGTGCAGGGTGATCCATGTCCCTCTGCAGCCTGGCTCTGTGCCTTCAGCGCACACAGTCTCCGGGGATAGGACTTACTGGACCTGCTGGTCATTTCAGCCAGCCTGCCTCTAGGTCTTGGCTTCCATCTTCAGGGAGTTACTCAGAGGGAAACCTGGGTGTGTGCGCCCAGGGTACCCCCCGGTCTGTCCCCACATGTCCCCCTCAGCCTACTGTATGAGCCCAGAGTCCACCCTCCTGGCACAAGGCCTGGGGAAGGGATGGAGGTCCAGAGCTGCTTTCATTGCCCCATGGCTGAACACATCTGGTTTGGGGATGGCTGGCCTCTGCGTGGTTTCCATTCCCATCTTATCCCAGGCCACACTGGAAGCAGCTTCTGAAGTCTGGCATCCTGAGTGTGAGCTCAGCCCCATCACTTTCTGGCTCCGGGATCCTGGCACGTTACGTAACCTTCCAGTGCTCAGCTCCGTCCCTGCTAAGTGGGGATAATTTTGGTACCTCACAAGGTTGTTGAGATGATGGCCAGCCCATGATCAGTCCCAGTAGGATGTGGGTATTATATTACTGTTACTGTTGCCATCACCTTGCTCCTTTATTCCTCCTGCAGACTGACCTCGGTAGGTCCTCTCCACCTCCCTGCCCAGCCCCCTCCCTCTCCACCTCCCTGCCCACCGGGGTCTGTGTGAATCTCCTGGCTCTGGGACCCCTAGAGGGGTCTGCCACATGCCTGTCCAGATGAAAAGACATTTGTTAGTGATGCAGGAAGGAAGCCCAGTTTGTGTGACATGGAACGTTAGTCACCTGGGGATGGAACTGGGGACGGGGTGTCATGGTTTGACCAAAGCTCCCAGGAGAGGTTTGAAGAGACTGTGAAAGACCAGGGATTGGATGGGTCCGGAGAGTGAGTGGGCTCCTTGAGGGTCTCTGACACTCCATGATAGTATCGAACGGTTTCTGACCCTCCCGGCCCCACCACCTTGGACTTCAATGTTCCCATGTTCATGACTCCCTACTCACTAGTTATGTGACTGTGCAAATTACATAATCTCTTAAACCTTAAATTTTCTATCATATCTACCTAGAGGTGTTAGGATTAAATGACACAGTGCATGTAAAGCACTTAACCCAACGATCCACATAGCACTATGTACATATCTGTGTATGCATGTATGCACATGCAGGCACATGTGTGTCCACATGCATGTATGTGTGTGCTCATGTATGTGTGTTGTGATGTGCATGCACATGTGTTTGTGTTGTATGTGTGTATGTATGAGGACATGTATGTGTGTGTGTTGTGCATGCACATGTATTTCTGTTGTGTGTGTGCATGTGTGTATGTACGGAGACATGTATGTGTGTGTGTTGTACATGCACATGTATTTGCGTTGTGTGTGCATGTGTGTATGCATGGGAACATGTATATGTGTGTGTGTTGTGCATGCACATGTATTTGTGTTGCATGTGTGTATGTATGGGGACATGTATGTGTGTGTGTGTTGTCCATGCACATGCCTGTGTGTGTGCGTATTTTTCATTCTCTACGTTTCCCACACGGAGTCACAAATCTAACTGTCCACTTAGCCTGTACCTGTGGTCATTTATACCTAAACCATAGCTCATTTGCTCACTTGCAACATTTTTGTTTCTTAGCTCTGATTCACGTGATGTTGCTCTTGCCCTCTGTAAAGGAGGAGTATCTCACATCAACAAATGAGCCAGTTTTCAGCGAGTCTGCCTGGACACAAGAGTCAGGGCCCACAGCAGTGCTGTGGCATGGTCTTGGTCAGTAAGCTGCTTCAATCCTGGCCTCACACATGAGGACTGGGATTCTCCAGACTTCATCTGTCTCCAGCTCCCGTGCAGGGCCCCAGGCTCTTAAGCTGTTTCTCGCTGAACCCGTGTGGTGCATCTGTGTCGTCATGGTTCTCTGGGATGCCCAGGGGTGTGCACTTCATTGACACCACAGCTGCTACGCTCTAGGACTCTGGTTCCCATCCAGGAGAAGAGAGAGAGCTGCAGCTCACATGTCCTCTGGGCTTAGCAATCTCCCCTGACGAGCTTGCGCACAGGCTGTCCCAGAAGAGGACCCCCATCTGCTGCGGCGTTCAGAAGAAAGGGGCTGGGGTGGTGGCGGGCGGTGAAAGGTCTCCCCCAGTTCCCATTTCATTGGCCTAGGGGTGGCTCAGCAGCTGATGTTGCTGTTATTTCTAATGACAGCCCCCTGGTGAGCTTTGTTTCCCAACCACTGAGCGTGAGGGTCTTAGGAGAGTGACTGTTTTAATAGATTACATTTTATTAAAAAAATTGGGGTGTGAAAAATTGCAAATAAACACCAAAGGAGAGTGACTAGTGTAATGGACCCAAATGTATCTGCCTTGGCCAGGCTCCAATGTTTTGCCCGTCTCCTTTCATCTACATTCCCTGTTACTTCTGCCCTGACCAGAGTTTTGTAGAAAGCCTGTCTTTCAAATATATGACAGTGAGGGACTGGCTGTGAACTTTGCTCTTTCTTCTTTTTATCTTGCTTTCTGGTTTTTCAGGAAATAGATGCATGGTGTCCCGACATTTCTGGGCATATTTCACCTGCAAAATATAAGTTTAGCATTTGCTCTGGGATTTCTTTCTCTGTTTCTCTGTCTCTGTCTCTGTCTCGCTCTCTGTATCTCTGTCTCTATCTCTCTCTATCTCTGTCTCTGTCTCTGTCTCTCTCTCAGGCACTGATTCCCAGGGGAGGGGGGTGGTCCCAGGGTTCTTCCACTCAGGACGGCTTGGGTGTGAATGCGCTCCATCTATCAGATGAGATGGGGTGGTGCTGGAGTGCTCAGGAACACTAGTAGGGGGTCAGCGCTTGCCCCAAACTCTAATGTGGAAAGTTAGAATCTCATGCTCTTCCTGAACAAACCAGTGGCTGGAACCGTGGACTGAGGAACAGACGTGGGGGCCTAGGTCTTCAGACACTGCCAGTCTATCTGGGTAAATGTGTGACCCAATGGAGTCCGTGAACCGTCTGCGAGCCCTGAAGGGCGGGGGCCCAGCCAGCCCCTCCTCTGCTTTCACTCAGCTTGTCTGCCAAGGGGCCTTGTGTTCTCTGCTGGGACTCACCGAAGAAGGGAGCTGCCCACCCACCCCTCACCTTTCCCAGCGATCATGGAGACAGAGCTGGGCGAGTCTCCTCTTTTGTCCAGTCACTGTTTGGTTTCCAGCTGATCCCTGACACCCAGAGGACACAAAATCCACTGGTGATGTGGAGACAAGCTTTTTCTGCTTGAGTTTCAAGAAGACAGTTTGTGGTTTTCCCTTCTTTCTGGTCCCAGTGTGACTGCAGAGGGGGTGGTTGCTGAAGGGCCCGGTCTGCGTTCCTGAGGGAGAGTAGGCCTGTGAGACACGGGGTTCACACAGTACCCCAGCCCACCCTCACAAAGCCCTCAAAGACGGTGCTGCGTTCTCTGTTTCCGCAGAAGATCCTGAGATCTGCGGGGTCGCCCCACTCGTCCCCGCAGGGCAGTGACTCGAGCCCAGCTGAGCCCTGTCCAGGAACAGTGTTGCCTCCTGCTGGGGGAACTGGCTGTGTCCCAGGGCGCAGGAGGTTCTAGGCGATTCATGGGCCATGAGCCCTGGAGAATTATTTTTGGTAAAAGATAGTTAGCGCCTCATTTCCTGTGTTGAAAACGCTCTGACCTCCTGAAATACTTTCAGTTAATACATTCAATTCCCATTATTCACCGTGGTTATGTTCTATAAAGTCACTGTGAACACAGAATTAGCAGACGCAGACCCTCTTCTCCTGGAAAAAACAGGGTGAGTTCTATGTGAGCCTCTTTCACAGCATTTTCATCACCGATCAATGCATAACCTCAGTTTATATGGGTTTCTGTTTAAAGGCACCGAATTGGGTATATATCGTTGAGTCACTAA